CCGCTACCGCCTCGCCGTCAGTGCCCTCCGGGGTGCCAACGAGAGCCGGCCGGCCCTCGCCCAGTTCACCACAGGTAGCTAGCTGGTTTTGCTGGGAGAACCGGCATGAATTTTTAAGCCTCCAGCAAGCACGGGCAGACGGCTTGCTGCAATCTGCAGATGGGCTGTCCTGCAACGAGCATGGGGGTGTGCCTATCTGGAGCTGAATTGAGGGGTTTTTTTGCATCTGGGATTTAGTGGTACCTGGTTTTGCCCCGGCACCAGTGAGCTGGGGTTTAATCCCATGTACTGGGAGGAACCGGCGCAATGAAAACACGATGGGTAAGATGCAGGTCCAAACGAAGATGCCTGAATGCAGGTGTCTCGCATCCCGTCATGGTCCTGGTGCAGAGCAAGGCAGAGCAAATGATTCAGCTCACCCTAAAACACACATGCACAGCTCAAACCACCCTCTGACCCCCCTCCGCTAGTCCCTAAACCTCCAGTGCAACGGGTCTCCACCACACCCCGTGCCCCACGGGGATGCTCGCATGGTCCCCAGGGCAGCCCAGGTGACCCCAGATGCCAGCGACCAGGCAGAGGACTCAAAAACCCACATTTAGATGACAACCCCTGAGCAAACCCCACCTTGGCCACGTCCTGCTGCAGCACCAAGGCTGAACCCGCTGCTGCCTGTGACGCACGTCCCCACCACCTTTAGCACCCATCCAGACCCACCGCTTAGCTTGAGCCCACGACTAAAACTTTAAAACCCGGCAGTTTACACCCTTAATAGCACCCGTAGATCAACGTGCAGTTCTCAAAAGCACCAAACCAGCAAGCACAGGTCTGAATTTAAGACGATGCTCGCTCCCATTCAGCGTCGAGAGCCAAGGCAGATGCATTGCCCGAGGAATCGGCAGTCAAGCAGCTGAAAGCAGCCCCAGTCAGAAATGTAGTTATCTTATTTTATATCTTCTCTGAATACCCTAACTGGTCGGTAAAACTTTAATTAATGTTAAGCCTGCAGACAGCTAACAGGTTTAATTTACCGTGCCATAAAGGAGGAGGTAAAGCACATATTTCAGTGCTGGTTTATGGTATATAAAGTACTTGTCATTTACGTTACTGGTGGATACTAGGCTCCTATTACAATAACTGTGGTGTGTGAATTGTGTGTGTATATATATCTCTATAGATATATATTTCGGAGGAGATGTTCACCCCGACTGATTTGCTGCATTGTCCTTCCTTGCTTTATTTCTAAAAGGCAACATAAAAACCGCCCCACTAAACCCAGATCCATCAAGGAGCAGTAATTACGCCCCGTCTGCTGCCACCCAGCCCCTGCCCGGCACCAACCCGTCGCTCTCCGGAGAGGTTTATCATGCAAACCAGAGCAGATTCGGTGCACAACCCCTGCAGCACTAATAAACAAACCCTTTGGGCAACGCCTCAGCGTGAATGAGCCTGTAAAGATGCTCAAGGTCTTCTAAGAGCAGTTCAAGCCAATGCATGACTGCTACAGAGCCCTTATTCTCTTATGCGCGCTGCCTCAGTTTCCCTTACTCTAATATAGGGGGGGGAAACGCTTTTCTTTTCCAAATAACATGCAATTAGCTCCCGAAGCGACTTACTGAGGGATGCTGTGAACGCCCCAGCAATCGCTCGGTCTCGTGGGTGGCATCTCCAGGTCTGTGCTGAGCAGGAGGTGAGAGCAGATGCCCCAGCCCCTTCTGTGGGGACATGCCCCGGGAAGGAGGGACCGCACATGGGACCTCACGGACATCACACCCGGGGACCCCTCCGCTGCCGTTTAGCTGTGCCACGGCTACGGGGGTGCATTCCCAGTGCCCGGCGGTGAGACGGAGCCTCTCTCCCTTGTGTCCCGCAGAGATCGATGCCCCCAAGAACCTACGGGTGGGCTCGCGGACGCCCGCCAGCCTCGAGCTCGCCTGGGACAACAGCGAGGCCGAGGCGCACAGCTACAGGGTGGTCTACAGCACCCTGGCCGGGGAGCACTACCACGAAGTCGTGGTGCCGCGGGACACCGGTCCCACCACCCGGGCCACCCTGGCAGGTATGCGTGCACCCACGCACCCTTCCTCCCCCGCTCCTCCTCGTCCTCGCAAGCAGGTAGGGCAACGGAGAGCCCAAATCAGCACTGAGGTTCAGTTGCCCTCATGCTGGCACACATTTGAGGCTGGTTTGGAGTTTACCAGTTACCAGAAAGAAGGTTTTCCTTGGGATGAAGCTCATTTTCCCCTCCGTGGGTCTGGATTTGGGCACTGCTTGTCCGAAGCTGAGTGATGCAGCTCTGAGCAATGCACCTCCCAGCGATGCACCTCCAGCAAGGGTCTGTCCAGGTCCCAAAGAGCTGGCAAGGAGCAAAGTGAGAAATGGAGAGAGGAAGGCTTTTTAGGCTGATCTAGAGGAAAATACTAGTTTGCCCTTCTGTTTTCTCCCTCGCTGGGAAAGAGCCACAGGCACCGATGCCCCGTAGGCAGCGATGGGGATCCAGGCTGCCCAAATTTGTTGCCTTTTTCCAAATGGGGCACAAAGCAGACCCAAATCCAGGGATGCTATTTTTGAGCAAGTCCCTCAAGCGGTACGTTATTCAGGCCAGCACAGGGGGTGCCACCGGGGGCTGCAAACACCACCCATCTCCCACGGCCAGGAATGTCCCGAACACCCTTTGCAGCAACACCACGAAGCACCGTGTGAGATCTGGTTTCCTTTTTTTTGAACTACAACCGCTTGCCTGCTGGATTTGCAGCTCGGGTGGCATTTTTTTGAGCAAAGAAAAGGCAGACTTACACACATATAAGAAAGATCACTCATTCAGCTTGAAGCTCTTCAGTATGGCAGGACACCAGGTTCTTCCACGTTGACTCTCTTTGCCCTTCTGGACTTCCCCAGCCCGAAGAGGGCTTCGGCATATGGACGTATAGGAGTAAGTTCAGCGGGAAAGTCGAATGCCAAGTTACAGGCACGGCAGCACCAAGTCACGAGAAAGGCTGGAGGGCAGGAAAGCAATTAGAGCAGTTAGCCTGAAAAATGTGGTATGCGGAAAAGAGAAATGTTAGGGATAGTTTCTGCTGCGTTCGTGATGAGGACGCACATGGAGAAGTGAGATGGAGGGGGACAGCAAGGGATTGGACACCCAGTGCTGGTCCCCTGCTAGCTTTCCTCTAGGCATTTATTGCCTTTCTAGGTGAGAAGGAGCATTAAAAATGGGCCAAATCCTTCTCCCTGGGGCAGAGGTGCAATACTACCCCAGTGACCTAAACTGCGATGACACCCATGGCAGAGCTAGAGCGAGGAAGAGCCAGCGTGAAGGCTCTCTCTTCTCACAATAAAAATTTAAAAAGCTGCCGAGTCTTTACCTGGCAGCACCAGCACTGCCTGGCTGCTGCCAGACTCTGGCAGGGCTACAACCCCCCCCCAGCGCAAGCTCCAGAGATAGAGAGGCTTAAGTCGATAGCCGTAAGCGATTTTTATATAGTGCCTCTACCGTCACTTCAGTGCATGGCTTCTAGCTGCCAGGGTACTTTGTAATAAACAAACAATTTTTTAAAAAAATCTAATTGTAGCCGAAATTAACCCAAAAAAACATTCTGCTGGCAAAAAAAAAGCCAGGGTAACCATAGGGTGAATGGCACGAGAGCCTCTCCCGTAGCTCCGCTACACACGCGATAGCCCTGTCCTCCAAGGTCTTGTTGCACGCGGTGCAAAGCCCGTTGGGGTGGGTTTCCGGCCACCCAGGACCTGGTGGGATCCACGGTGTAAATGCAACCAGTGATTCCTTCAGCTGCCTTCAGCTGCCTGCAGGAAAAGCAGCGAGGAACGGTGCCGAGCAGAGCTTATTAAAGATTTAAGCTTAAAAATACAGCAAGCCTTGCCCTGCCCCATATGTCTCTCTTCAAAATCAGCATTTGCACAGAAATATCCGTAATTTTGCTCTACCCAAAAGAGCTGGGAGAGAAAAGGCATCGGTTTATATGCTCCTGCTCATTTCTTCCTCCTCCTCCCCCTTCCTCCCAGGCTCTTCTCCTCCTTTCCAGGACATTTCCGACACTCATTGGGCAGGGGCGAAGGGGGTCCATCCCCTCCCCAAGGGGTGCCAAGACTCCACCGTAGCAAGAGGAGAGGAGCAGGGGATGGGGGTTTCCCTCCCTCCTGGCCTCTTGGAGAAGGTTTTGGTGGCCTCAGAGGATGCTGCCCCTGGGCAAGGCAGGGTGAGGCCAGGCTGGAGGGTTTATGGCTTTCTCTAACCCCATGGGAAAGATCATGAAGCGCAGGGAGGAGGGGAATAAAGCCATCAGCAACCAAGCAGCAGTGACAGGCAGAGGCAGGAGATGTCCCACGGAGATAAAACAGCGATCAGCAGTAGGTGTGCAGGAAAGGAGCTGGATGAGCTCGATTCCCACGTCCCTTGGGAGGGACACCGCGGGATACGTCTATCCCAAGGAGCGGCTCTCGATTCGGCTCCCAGAAAGACTGCGTCTTTCCTAATTAATGTGCATTTAATTTACCCTGCATAATTTATTTCTCTTCGAGACACTAGCCCTGTGACAATATTTGATGTAGAATCACTTTGGAAACAAATATAGCTACTTTATCGTTCCCATCTCAGCTCACACACACACAATTTCTGTCTCGATGCCAGCAATTACAGCAGACCTCAGCAACAACTTTTAAAAATTGTTTCTTTCTGAGCTAGAATAATCCAAATTCCCTGTCCAAAGGCACCCACGGGGCTTTTTAAAAAGGCTCAGCTCTCCTCCAACGCGCAGAGGAACCGCTGACCTGTGGGAGGGCCGCTTACCCCAGGGATGCTCAGAAGGGTCCCCCTCTGTCCCCAGCCGTGGGAGGTGGGGGGGGTTGCACCCCAAGGCCACCCAGCCAGGCGCTGCTCTCACGTCCCTTCATGTCCTTTGCACCCCCGGCAGATCTGGTGCCGGGGACAGAGTACGGCATTGGGATTTCGGCCGTGATGGACAGCCAGCAGAGCGTGCCGGCAACCATGAATGCCAGGACTGGTGAGTTTGGCCCCGTTGCATGCTCCAAGCACGGCTGGCTCCTATGGCTCAGATGTCCCCATGGGACAGTCCACGCATGGGGACAAAGGTCTGCACCAACCCTATCCCACAGAGCTTGATAGCCCCCGGGACCTCCTGGTGACGGCCTCCACAGAGACGTCCATCTCGCTGACCTGGACCAAAGCCACAGGTCCCATCGACCACTACCGCGTCATCTTCACCCCTGCCTCGGGGATGGCCTCCGAAGTGACGGTGCCCCGAGATGAATCACAGCTCACCCTCTCGGAGCTGGAGCCCGGGACGGAGTACACCATCTCCATCATCGCAGAGAGGGGACGCCAACAGAGCCTGGAGGCCACCGTGGATGCCTTCACAGGTAGAGAAAGACAAGCTGGGATGGGGCCAAGGGCACAGACCACTGCCAGCCCACCGCGTCCCCAGCACCGAAACTCTTGAGGCAGTGATGGGGATGAGAGCTGGGGGTAACCCATCCACCTGGGAGGAGATCTGTGGACCTCAGAAGGAGGATGGCCCTACCAGCATGGTGATCCCATCCCCCTGGCCAGCAGCACTGAGCACACTTGCTTGGCTGGAGGCTGCTGTTTGAAAGAGGGTGGGTTGGGGGAACAGCCAGCCCATGTTGTCCCCTGTGGTCAGGGTGGTCTGTGTGTCCATAAGAAGGAAAAAACCAAGCCTTGAGGGACCTCACAAGCACCTCTGGGTGAAAAGCCAGCCGTCAAGAAGCCCAGACAGCACATACCATCTGTAGTGGGACAGCCCCATCACCTACCATATGGGTCTGGGATGGAGTGTGTTTGCAGGCAGAGCTGAGAAAAGCACCATTTTTCCCCTCCCAGTTCGGCCTCTCAATCCCAGCACAGTTTCAGATCAATGGAGAGCCCAGAGCCGCAGCTTTGCCATCTGTCGGGCGTTTCCCACACAAGCAGATACAACGCGGAGGCCAGGATCTGCAGACGGTCTGGGTTACATCTCCCCTCTCCATCTTGCAGGGGTCCGGCCCATCACGCAGCTCCACTTCTCCCAGCTGACGTCTTCCAGCGTGAACGTCACGTGGAGTGATCCATCCCCGCCAGCAGACCGCCTCGTCCTCACCTACAGCCCCCGGGACGAGGAGGAGGCACAGCAGCTCACGCTCGACGGCACCCGCAGGCACGCCAGCCTGACGGGCTTGCAGCCATCCACCGAGTACCTGGTGTCACTGGTGGCCATGCACGGTGCCATCAGCTCCGAGCCTGTCGTGGGCT